ACATGTCTCTGCAATCAGTGAATGACTGCAGATAACTTCAATAATAGACTTGTCTTAGTCTTGTTAGGATGACTTCAAGAAAAAAAAAGGATACTGGGCTGAAAGTGTTGCACAATGATCAGCTAGTACAAACAGCTGATCTTTCCATCAGTTTTTTAGAAAGATCAAAGCTAATGAAGACAATTTTTTGGAACTAATCATAGATTTGGATGAATCTTACATTTATCAATATAATCCAGAGAGCAAAGTCCAATCAAAAAGTTTCTGAGGAAATTTGCTGAGGCAGTTCAATTTAAGACAGAGAGGTCAGTTCTTAAGATTATGGTGATATTCTTTAGGGACTCCCAAGGCGTTGTTTTAGCAGATTTTTTCTAAAAACATAGGACAATCATGGGAGCATATTGGGTTAATGCGCTAGACTGCAAAGTTAGATTGAATCTCAAGGCCAGTGGTTCAAGTTCACCAGTTGCTACTCAGAAATCTTATATAGAGTTGCCATAAGTTGGAACCGACTTGATGGCACATAACAGCAACAACCAGGGATAGTCTTAGTAGATTTTCTCTAAAGACAGGACAATCATGGAGGTATATTATGAATAAGTTTTCAGAAAATTAAAAATTGCATTGATGGGCAAAAGACCAGGAAAGTTGCACAGATTTTTTTTTTTTTCTAACACAACAATGCACCTGCTTATTCTTTGAGGGAGGCATGCATTGTCCTATGGGAATTTCACTGGGAAACTTTATTCCATCTGCTCTATAACCCTTATCTTGCCATTTCACACTTCTTTTGGTTTCAAAAGCTCAAAGAACACTTAAAAGTTAGGAACAATATTTGAGTTACTCAAGAATACCAAAGCTGCCATTTTGACGTTGTGTAAGTTCAAGAATGCAGAATGTTTCCGGGAAGCATTAGAGAGATGAAAAATCCATCTTCAAAAGTATATAGACCTAAACATCATAGTTTGAGTGAGGAAGGGGAGGGCAATACACAAGAAGCAAGAGGGGGTGGAAGGACAAGGAAGCTAGGGTAACACGTAGGAAGGTTTGCATGGGTTAAATGAGGCAGAGGTGAATAGAGATGTATGCTTAACCTTGGAAGAACAGGTCTCTGATACAGGGATGGAAGCATTATCTGAATTGGTAAAAGAGGGAAAATAATGTTAAGGTGATAGACCGTATTATGGATAACGGTTTCCCCTGCCTACTAATGTAAAACAGACACTTGTGTGGGATAGAAAGAAATATCAGGTAATATAATTACAGAAAGCTTATAAGCTCATCTTCAGTTTATAAAGGATTGGAAAATCTAAAAGGGGTTCTAGAACTTTCCCATTGAAATAGGCATCTTGTGGAGCCTTTGTAGAATATGGGGCCTTGGATGGAATCCTGAACCCTATACAGAACCTTCTGAAGTGGGACATTCCCCCTTCAAAGGACATGCAGACCAACCCAGAGCAGTTAGAAGAACAGAAAATGCTTCTTTAAAGAAAGACCAACAGGTAAAGAGGTAAAAAAAACAGACTGTTTGGCTATTACAACAACAAGCAAGCTGTTCACCTAGGAGCCATCAAATCAAGCCATCATTTCAAGACAAACAAGCTTCTAAGACTGAAACTCAAAGGGAACACACAAACAGGCTTATAAGCTCACTAATGACCAAGTTGGTCTACTTGTGAGTGAAAGTGAGGGGAAGGCAGTAATGAAGACATGGGCTGAGCTTGACCATGTTCCATAGACTCCTGTCAACTTTGATATGAGAGAGAGAAAAGGAAGAGCTGGCTGGTCTGATGTCTGGGGATACTTGGGAACTCTGGCTTATCTGATGTTTGGGGAGATTTGGGAATTCTTGAGTCCATGGACACTGACCTAGCCACTGGGACCTACAGCTGAAGGTGAACTGACCAGCTGATATGAAGTGGGGGGGAGGTGCCCAAGAATGTCCAAACTTGCAGATAGTATCCATTTGACCTAACTTGGATGGTTCGATGATCAAAACTAGACTAGAGGAAGATAAAGAGATTTGATACAGGAAGCAAGTATAAATTGTTAAATTTGATTCACTTGAGCTTATCTTATAGATGTTGCTGTTTTGTTATGTGCCCAGGAGTTGGTTCCGACTCATAGCGACCCTGTACAGGGTTTCTGAGGCCATAAATCTTTACAGGAGCAGAAAGCATCCTCATTCTCCCACGGAACAGCTGGTAGTTTCGAACTGCTGACCTTGTGGTTTGCAGCCCGGTTTGTAACCCTTATGCTATCAGAGCTCCTTTCTTATAGATGTAGTGGCACAAAATATCAACTGACAAGGAAGGAGTCTTCAAATCGAGGATCAAACATATTCCCTCAGTACACAGGATTGATAGGGACAGGCAACTCAGACATTGGCTACCTAAAATGGGGAGGCTATAAAAGCATGAAGTGGCTGGCTTATATGTTTTCATGAGGAAATTCAGTTTCAGAATGTGCAGGGCAAGGTAGAGTCCCCACTGAAGTTTTAACCTTGTCTAGAAAGGTCAGGTGAAAGGAGATGGAGATGGGATTCTTTCAATTTAATAGTAATTGTTATCATGACTAATTGCGATTGTCACAAATGTAAAAGTAGAAGATGTGTAACAAAAAGTGGGGAGTAGTTAATCTTACATTCTAGGAACAGATGACCCTAGGATCAGCAAGAGGGAAGAGCATGAGCAGAACATGGAATCCTAACCCGAGAAGCAGTGACACCAGAGATGGAGGCAAAGGCAATGGAATGAAGACATAGAGCATCTGAGGACTCTAGACTCATGGAAAGAGAAAGGCTGTGTGCTAATGAGTAGGAGGTTGATTTGCAAAATGCATCCTTTGGTTGTTTAAATGATTATATTTTCCTGCGTATTTTTGTGTACATCAAAAAAGGGGATTGTAGTCATTACAATGAAAAAAGATGTGATGGATTGAGTGCAAATCTAATGTTCTACCATGTAGATTATCACTTAGTTCACAATAAAAACTTATTTTAAAAAAAGTATATAGACTTAGAAGAAAGATATATCAAGAAATCACAGCATCACATTTTAATGTTTTGATTTAGTAAATATTTCTTTGATTTGTAGCAATACTTTTTTTTTTTTTTTTTACTAACCCTCAAATATATGTATGGTTTTCTTATTTATTTTTCCATTTGAAATTTAAGTAGATCATCAAACACAATTTTAAAAGTTCATAATATGGAACTTTGTAGTAAATGAAGTATTATTTGACTATCTGACTTTCCTTGCATTAATCTGAACTGAAGTAATATGGTGGTGGTGGTTATATGCTGTGGAGTCGGTTCCAACTCATAGAGACCCTGTACAGGGTTTCCGAGACTGTAAATCTTTACGGGAGCAGAAAGCTTCATCTTTCTCCCATGGAACAATTGGTAGTTTCGAACTACTGATTTTGCAGTTCATAGCCTGATTCACAACCACTATGCTACAAAATTTTAAACTATGTAGTTGTTGCTAGGAAAGAATGCCCACCTATTCTAAAAACCTCAAAAAACAATTACTAGACAGTGGGATGATGGAAACAGACAAAAAAAAGTGTTCCAAATCTGCTTGAATGTCATCTTCACTTTCCCTTCAAAGAAAGACTAAATCTCACGATGTTTGGAATGGAATCCAAAAATTAGTACCAGTTTAGAGGGGCAAGGGTGGTAAGGTTGATCTCAGTGTTCAAAGATAAGAAGCAGGAAATTTTAAAAAAGGTAAATCAATTGAAATTATTTTGTTGTTAGGCGTTGTCAAGTCTGTTCTGATTCATAATGACCTTATACACATCAGAAAGAAAGAAGGAAAACATGGACCACATAAAATATGTATAAAACATAAATGAAGAAAAATGTTGTAAATTAAAAATATAGTTACTGCAGAATTCGGAAATAAACTTGAAACAGCATCTGCTTTAGGAATGCAATTAAATCTAAGAAATTATAGGCTATGAAAGAAGAAATATGTTGAATAATCATATAACTAAAATAAAAGAGGATAACTTAATGAATGACATACTAACAGAATTTAAAAGTTGATAAAAATCAGTAAGTATAAAATAAATTCTGTGGAAAATTCAATCAATGACATAAAGATAAGAGTGTAGTTAAGTGTTGTTGAGTTGGTTCCAACTCACAGTGGCCCTGTGTAATGCTGTGGATCAATGTGCTGGACTGCAAAGTTGGTTTGAACTGCAAGGTCGGCTGTTCAAACTCACCAGTCACTCTTTGGGAACCCTCTATAGGGTTGCTATGGGTTGGAACCAACTCGAGGTGTTAACAATAGGGTTTCAAGGGGTGGCTTGTGGGTTTGCACTGCCTACGCATTGGTTCAAATCGATCTTATGGTCCAGGGCTTATCCCACAGTGCCAAACAAGGATTCCAAAGAGAAGATTGTTGCTGCTGCTGTTGTTATTGTTAAGTTCTGTCAAGTTGGTTCAACCCTGTATTGGGTTTCCATGGAGTGGCTGGTGAGTTTGACCTGCCGACCTTGTGGTTCAAACTGACCTTGCAGACTAGAGCTTTGTCCTATTGTTCTAAAATTCAAAGAAAAGTTTCAGAGACAAATGAAGACTGAGATGAAGAAAAGAACTGGAAATAATCCCCATAGTCTTTTTAAAATCAAAGAATATTGTTACTGTTGTTTTTAAGTGCCCTTGAGACACTTTGAAATCATTGTGACACTGTATAGGGTTTCCAAGGAGAGGTTGGTGGGTTTGAACCGCCGGCTTTATGGTTCAAACCGACCTTGCATTCCAGAGATTTATTCTACAGCGCCACCTTAACTAGTTGTTGTTTTTAGTGGGTTTTTTTTTTTTTTTTTTTTAATGTGTGCCTTGAGGAATGAGAAACCAAACCGCAGCTACCAGCAAGCTGACAAGACAGGAACCTAAGCGTGAGCAAAAGTGAGTGGTTACCATACACGGGATCACCCTCATTGAGACAAAACAAGATTCTGAAGCTGTAGATCATTGATGCCTTGGAAAGGACTCAGAGTCTCCAGCGGGGATTGGAGAAGGAAAAGCAGAAAGAAGAGCTGGAACGCGTTCAGGGCCACCTGGCCAATGCCCTGTAAAAGTTGCTAATGAGAGCGAAAGAGGTAAAATGGATTTCCAAGATGAGGAAATTATCACACAAAATAAAAAAAATGGAACTCTAAGAAATCCAACTCAAAGAAACTAAGCACACTGCAGAAGAGACAAATCGGAAGTATAGGGAGGTGGCTGGTAAATAGGTAAACTGAAGGGGACTTGGAACACATAGAGAAGTCAGCTGAGCTGCTAAAATCGCGTTGCCAACAGATGAATGACTAGGTCAGACTGTTGGTCCAGAACTCAAATTACCTGAGTGCTTCTGAAAAAAAAAGTATTCTCAAAAAGAAAACAAGTAAAAGGAAGATAAACATTCTTACTGGTGAACTCATGGAGGCAGTGGAAAAAACAGTTGATGATTTGGAAGATAAACTGAAGTGCACCAAAGAGGAGCAACTTTGTACACAAAGGATGCTGGCCTCAAACTCTGCTTGACCTGAATGAGACTTAGAGCACCTCAGTTCCATCCTACCGCTGTTCCTCCCCTTGACCCTGACTCTACCTGACGCCAGCCAAAGCTGCTCTTTAAACTAAGATGGACCTTTCAGTGGAAAGTTGCTTCCTCCTCTCATCCCCCACCCTTCTTTCCCGTTAGATCTTTTTTTCTTTTCCCCTGTCAAACTGTCTGTGCATCTCCCCAGTGGTTCCAACTGGACTAGGGGCTGAGCACCTTTGAGAACAACAACTAAAGGAATGTGAACAAGTGCAAATGTCTTTAAAAGCATATAGAAGTATACATATTTTGTAATTACCATTTTTATTGTTGTAACAACTATTTGTAAAACATTCCAAATAACTCTATAAGTGTGATATAGAAAGCCAATCCTTTTTTACTTCTGAAAAGTAACTTTTCAGTGTCGTGAATATTGCATAGTCCTGGTGTGGTGCTGTGGGTTAATATGCCAGACTGCAATGCTGTTTGAACTGCAAGGTCTGCAGTTCAAGCTCACCAACTGCTCCTCAGAAACTCTATACAGAGTTGTTATGAGTCAGAGCTGACTTAATAGCACTTAACAACAACAACAACATAGAGGATGGAAAGAGTATTAGACCTGCTTTACTGAGAGCCAGAGATTGCTGAGAGATACAGCCCACACTATAGGAATGCTTAGTGCTCTGTACAAAGATCTGAGGAGTTGGCCAAAAGAATTTAAAAGCATTTTTCAGGTTGTCTGTTATAAGGTATCTTGGAGCAAAGGGATTTATATTTTATTTTATTTTATTTTCCTCAGAAACAGAATAATATAATGAGCCCTCTCCTTTTGAAAAGTTATATTACTTTGAGACCTTGCTTCTTTGAGGCTGGGATACCCGGATCACCCCATCTGGCTGTGAGTTCTCTCTGCAGTCTATAGGCTGTGTCTTAGGTTGGGTTCTCTAGAGAAGCAAAACCAGCAAAGCTTATATATGATGAGGCTTTCTACTCCCGTAAATATTTACAACCTCAGAAACACTATACAGGGTCACTGTGAGTCAGAACTAATTCAAGAGCACGTTAACAATAACAAATATAGTATACACACACACACACACACACACACACAGATTTATCTCAAGGAAATTGTTCACACAGTTGTAGAGACTGGCAAGTTCCAAGTTCATGGAGCAGATATCAGTCTAGAGGCTTCTCCAGACTCATGTAGCTGCAGGAACTGATGACTGTAACATGGTCATGCCAGACTGCAAGCTTTTGGATGCTGAGATGAATGAACCCAAGGTCAGCAGGCAATAAGGTTGGTTGCTGGCTGGCTCAAGTCCAAACAATTGGAGGTCAGAAGTTAAGCTAGATGCAGAATCTAGATAGAGCAAAAAGCAAGGAAGTTTTGCCAGAGGATCCACACATATTGGAAGCAGTTCACACCTCTGAAGAAACTCCCTTTCAGTTGACTGATTACTCATAGTAGCTTTCATCATAGAGATGATTACATTATATCAGACCTCATCTTGGAGGATGAGTGCCTCGTAACTGCCAAATCACTGAGAATCATAGCCAAGCCAAGTTGACACATCACTTTAACCAAAACAGGCTGGCAGTGTGCTTTTCTTTTAAGATTCCTTTCCCAATCTAATTCTCCCTTTTTGGTGAGGTTTTGTCAGTGATGTTAGATTGGCATCCTGCAATTAATTGGTTTAAAATGTACCCTTGTTTGATGTGGTCTGCTTGCAAGTGGGGAGGAATTGGGAGAATGAGAAATCAATATTGCAACTATTTGTTAATAAAAATTGACAAGTGTTTTGTTTTAAATAAAGAACAAGTCTCTCAAAATAAAAAATAAAAAAAATAGAAAAAGTCAGCCTTGAGTATTATACTTTTTAAGAATAATCTATATGTGGAATCAAATTGATAATAGCAACTTGAAAGGTTAGCTTGCAGACTGAGGGAGCAATGAATGGGGAGAAGCACTAAGAAAAGGAAGATCAGAATGATGGCACAACTCTTAGAATGTAATAATTAATGTCATTGAATTACACATGTAGAAACTGGTGTATGTTTTGCGATGCAGATTTTTAACAACAACAAATTTGTTTTTAAGCAAGAAAACTAAATAGGTGAATGGGTATAATCTCCTTGTTTTGTTTGAAGCATGTGGGGCATATATATGGGAAGCATATTATTCCTCATTTCTCTTATCTCATTTAATCCTCATAACAATCCATGAAAAGAGTCATGTCAGTCACCATTTTATAAACAAACACACACTGATGAGAGACCGAAATAAAAAATTTGTACTCTTGCCTACTGCCTTCCTATTAAAAACTGATAAAATTTGAAGAACACACTGAAGAAATGTCAAAAATATGAAAAATTGAAGATCCTGAGTTACAAACCAGAACAAATGCAATGCTCAAAAATTTCAGGAGAAAATTTCCATAAATATTTTCATATGCAGATTTTAAAAACTCAACAAAATATGAGAGCAGCCAATTGCTACACTTCAAAATATCTTCATTTTTGTGGATCTAAGCACATTGTATGTTTCTTTCAAAGGAGAAATAAATCATGTCATGCACTATAAAGGATTAAAAATCTTACTGGCCTCACACATGTACTTGTTAATATCAACTACAAGCACATCTTAAAGATATGAACACACTTCTGTGTTCCAGAAATGCCATAAATATAAAATATAAAGGATTTATTTAATATTTGAATTTCTTTTCAGAAGATATTTTTGTACAAAAAGACTCAGGATTATCAATTTTCAGTATAGAATTAATTAATTTTAAAAAGGCGAGTGGAGGGTAAGTTTAAATACTGTACCAAATATCAGTGATGCTTAGGTAAAAAATCTTACATGTAGAAAGAGAAAATGGAAAAGCTATATATGATCAGTGAAAACAAGGCCAGGGGCAGACTGTGGAACAGACCATCAATTACTCATATGCAAATTCAAACTGAAGCTGAAGAAAATTAAAACAAGTCAACAAGAGCCAAAATATGACTTTGAATATATCCCACCTGAATTTATTGATCATCTGAAGAACAGATTGATACATTAAACACTAAAGACCAAAGACCAGAAGAGAGTTGTGGGATGACATCAAGAACATCATACATGAAGAAAGCAAAAAGTTATTGACAAGACAAGAAAGAAGGAAAAGGTTAAAATGGATGTCAGAAGAGACACTGAAACTTGCTCTCCAGTGGAGAGATGCTAAAGCAAATGGAAGAAATGAGGAGGTCCAAGAGCTGAACAGAAAATTTCAAAG